GGTGCCCCCTGTCCCCCTCTGCCCCCTGGGCAGCCCCGCTTTGCTCCTGGCCCCCGCGCCTGGGGCGAGAGGTAAGGGGGACCAGCGGGTCTGCGCCTCTGGGGCCTTCCTCCCACAGCCCTCCTCCTCCTCCTCCTCGCTGCTCCTCTCCTCTTCGATCCTCTCCTCGCTGATCCTTTTGCTTTTCCCCATGGAGACAGACAGCAGCCCTGTGCTGGTCCCAGGCGGACCGCGGCATCACAGAGCCTCTGAGCTCCTGCGCTAATGAGAAAGACCCTCTGGGAGAGGACCGGGGCCACCCCGTGCCCTTCAGCAGCCGGGGAAGGGGAGTTACCACCTCGCTGCAGGAGGCTACGGAGGGTCTTTCGCAACCTGCCCAGCTTCTCGTAACAAGGGGCTTGACCTATGGGTTTGAATTGCCGAAGCAAAGCTGGTTATGGATACAGCATCTGAGAGCAGTGAGACGAGGGCCGTGTTGCAGTAACAGATGGTGTTTGAGCTCTGTCAAGTTGAAACTTCCTGTGATAAATAGAAATGCATTGAGATGAGGCAGGAGAGTAAAATGGCAAACAAGACATGTTTGGTCTAAAAAGCCTGCAGGGCACGACAGCCTGGCAGGTAGCCCGAGGTGCCCTTTTGTTTGGGACAGGATAGCCCAAACCTACAGAAACTTGGCTCCAGCTCTGCAGTACGGTTTTGTTTACCTCTTCCCGTCTTGCAAGCGTAGATGCTGCAATCTGGCTGCCCTGGCAAGGTCTGAGATGCGGTAGGGTACGGAGAAGACTTCTGCCTATGTCCTCAATCGTGTTAATTGCTCACTGGCACCTTGAGGGAGCGAGGGCTCACCCTCCCGCCCCAGCTGGCGGCAGGGGCTCTGCGGCAGGCTGGGGGTAAAGCATCAGTGGCTGCGAAGGGGCAGGGTATGTTTGGGAAAAAAAAAAAAAAAAAATCATTAAGCTAACACTTTGCAAAAAGGTTAAGTTGTATTTTCTTCTGTTATACCTGTTTTTTTCTATATGTTCAGCCAATGTACGTGCATTCGGTTCGCCAGCCTCGTGGCAGTAACTGTCATTGCTGACGCGCTGTTTGGTGCCGGAGAGCTGTGGTTCTCCCGCAAAGCCAACCTCAGAGCCGCGCGAAGGGCTCAGCGGAGACAGGCGACACCCGAACAGCTCCGAGAAGGGAGCTGTGGCCCTTTACTCAGTAACCCAAAGGATATTACCAGTGAAAGTGCATCTTTCTACATTCCCACATCTAGTGCGAATATTTACCTAGTGAATAAAAAGCTGTTTCCCTGTGGGTTTGGTTCTGGACATCTGCCTGCCTGCCCGCCCCTCGGCATGTCTGCCTCTCCCCCTGGCTCTCTCCGCAGGGGTTCAATGCCAACAACCCCCGCTGCCCCTGGAAGGGCATCCGCAGGTTCACAGCCGCATCCCTTGTAAGGCACAGCAGAGGCTTCGCCCGCGCTGGCGCGGGTCCGTCCCTGCGCCATCACAGCGGTGCCGTGGGCAGCGTGGCACGGCACCCCCAGCCCACGCTGCGCACCCCCTGCCCTGCGCTCTCGCACGGCTGCGTGTCCCTGCTGGTACAGAGCCCCGGACTGCAGTCGGTCCTGGATGGTCCTGCCAATGTTTCCCGGGGTCGGATCGCGCCCAGGGGATGGATATGCTTCCCAGCCCGTGAGTTGGAAGCATACGGAAAGGCCGTGAAAGGCTCTTGACCTCACCAGGTCAAGACTGTCGTGAAACCTTGGGCACCCAGTTCTTGCCAGGTGAGAAGCAGCGGGGTCCCCCAGCAGCGCTGGCACGAGCCCTGCAGCCCCAGGGACACCCGTCCCAGCCGCAGCCTCTGCCGCGTCCCATTGCTCAGGGATCAGCAGCCCGTGGGGACACCATCAACACGGCAACCACCACAGGCAAAACCAGCTTGAGAGCTCTGCAGGAAAACAACATTTTTTTCTCTCCCTTTCCAGCTGCCCGGTGCCCGTTCCCGCGCATCCAGCATGGGAAGAGAGTATCCGTTCCTCGCAATTTCTACAGGACCGGGGACACCGTAAGCTTCGTGTGCAACACAGGGTACACCTTGCAGGGCTCCCGCACAAGCTGGTGCCGAGCTGACTCCAGATGGAGCCCACCTCTGCCAGTGTGCAAAAAGGGTAAGTGTCCCAGCGGGCGGCGCGAGCGGTGACAGCCGCGGGGGGAGGCTCCCTCTTGTGTCCTCTCAAATTCAGTGGGAAAGCAAAGCCGCATGTCCTCCTCGCTTCTCTGCTCAAACCTAAGTGCTGCCAGCGTGGCTCTGAGAGATAGAAACAGGGCGGAAGAAAGGAGCTGGAGTGGGACATGAGGGTGGCTGCAGCCTGCCCTGTCTTGGGCTCCCAGAGGGATGGGGAGAAGTCCACCCTGGGGCTGAGCTGCCGTGTGGCAGGAGGCTGTAACCTCCCCGGCTCGCTCAGGAGCCTCCGCCAGCTGCGGGGATGGCAGTGTCTGCTGCCCCGGGGGGATTTCTGTGACTCTGCTTCTGGTCAGATGTGGGATGTTTTCCTCTTCCTGGAACGGGAAGTAATCACAACTTCTTGCTGTTCTTGCTGCTTCCATGTCCACGTGCATCTTCTGCCAAATCCCATGATGTGCCTGTGAGTTCTCCTCTTGGGACTGTCCTTATTAGTAGTAATTTCCTCTGGCCGCAGTGTGATTGTAATCTTGGTGCTGCTCTCCCTTTTGCTAACTAAAGCTTTGGTAGAGCAAATGGAACAAAGACTGAGCAGAATTCAGGATATCACCCAAACAGTCCCAGTAGCACACAAGATGGCAAACAGCTAACCCCCGGGGCAATTTCTTTTCCCTCTCCAGGGGTGACGTGTCCTCGGCCACCAAACATCGCCAACGGGCTGCACAGTGGACAGTCCTCAAACAAGTTTTCCCGGGGGGTGACCGTGTACTACAGCTGCAGGGACGGCTACGAGCTGGTGGGGAACGCGTCCCTCAACTGCACGGAGAGCGGGGTGTGGAGCAGACCCCTGCCCCGCTGCGAAGGTGGGTGGCTGCTTTGCTGCTCGCTGTGGGGCTGGCAGAAAGGATGCTGGGTGTCCCGGGTGCACTGGTGTCACTGGTCCTGACCAGTGCAGATGGGCTTACGGCAGAGACGGGAGGGGAGGGGGCTGTGTGTGCAGGATGTGACCCAGGCACCGGAGTTTAAAGGATGCTGTCCGCGTTCCCTGCAGCAATTGGATGTGAGATGCCGGAGGTGCAGAACGGGAACATTTACGCGGCAGAGGACACCTACGAGTCGCGGTGCCAGCCGGGGGGGACCTGGGATCCGCCGGAGCTCATCTGCCAGAGGGGTGAGCGTGGGTGCCCACTGCACCCCGAGGGCACCCTGCCCGGTGGTGCTCCGTGCAGGCAGGAACGGCGTGTGCAGGCGGAGCCGTTCCTGCGATGGGCTTTAACCCGTCAACGCAGCATCACTCCGTCTCCCTTCCCCTGGCACGCCGTTCTCTCGCTGAGTTAGACTTTGTCTCCCTTTTACAGTCCGACCGTGCCCCATGCCTCCGGACATCACCAATGGATATCACAACGGGCAGGGCAAAGCAGTTTTCACCATGGGAATGTCCGTAACATACACCTGCAATCCTGGCTACTACCTGGTTGGAAATGCCGTTGTGTCTTGCAGAGTGTCTGGAAACTGGAGCCGTCCCGGCCCTCACTGTGAAGGTGCGTCCGTGGTCCGTCCCCTCGAGGGAGAAGCTCATAGTGTGGCCGTGAGCTCGGTGGAGACCCTGGCCATTGTCACTAAACCCTTCAATGAGGGGTTAAATTCTCCTTTGACGAAGTATACACTTTTATCATATGTAAAGAATGAGCTTATACCCATGAATCTGGAGCCAGGTACTTCTGTAACGTTGGCTGCATGTGCTGTACCTCTCGCGCTGGGGCTGGGCGCTGGTGACCCCCCAGTCCATGTCGAGGACTTGGCACATCACTTAATGTGATCTTCCTGGAACGGGAAGTAATCACAACTTCTTGCTGTTCTTGCTGCTTCCATGTCCACGTGCATCTTCTGCCAAATCCCATGATGTGCCTGTGAGTTCTCCTCTTGGGACTGTCCTTATTAGTAGTAATTTCCTCTGGCCGCAGTGTGATTGTAATCTTGGTGCTGCTCTCCCTTTTGCTAACTAAAGCTTTGGTAGAGCAAATGGAACAAAGACTGAGCAGAATTCAGGATATCACCCAAACAGTCCCAGTAGCACACAAGATGGCAAACAGCTAACCCCCGGGGCAATTTCTTTTCCCTCTCCAGGGGTGACGTGTCCTCGGCCACCAAACATCGCCAACGGGCTGCACAGTGGACAGTCCTCAAACAAGTTTTCCCGGGGGGTGACCGTGTACTACAGCTGCAGGGACGGCTACGAGCTGGTGGGGAACGCGTCCCTCAACTGCACGGAGAGCGGGGTGTGGAGCAGACCCCTGCCCCGCTGCGAAGGTGGGTGGCTGCTTCGCTGCTCGCTGTGGGGCTGGCAGAAAGGATGCTGGGTGTCCCGGGTGCACTGGTGTCACTGGTCCTGACCAGTGCAGATGGGCTTACGGCAGAGACGGGAGGGGAGGGGGCTGTGTGTGCAGGATGTGACCCAGGCACCGGAGTTTAAAGGATGCTGTCCGCGTTCCCTGCAGCAATTGGATGTGAGATGCCGGAGGTGCAGAACGGGAACATCTATGAGCCGCAGAGCACCTACAAAGCTGGAGAGACCCTTCACTTTGACTGTAACGCCGGTTACGCTGCAGAGGACACCTACGAGTCGCGGTGCCAGCCGGGGGGGACCTGGGATCCGCCGGAGCTCATCTGCCAGAGGGGTGAGCACGGGTGCCCACTGCACCCCGAGGGCACCCTGCCCGGCGGTGCTCCGTGCAGGCAGGAACGGCGTGTGCAGGCGGAGCCGTTCCTGCGATGGGCTTTAACCCGTCAACGCAGCATCACTCCGTCTCCCTTCCCCTGGCACGCCGTTCTCTCGCTGAGTTAGACCTTCTGTTCCCCTCCTCCAGTCCGACCGTGCCCCATGCCTCCAGGGGTCCGCAATGGATATCACAACGGGCAGGGCAAAGCAGTTTTCACCATGGGAATGTCCGTAACATACACCTGCAATCCTGGCTACTACCTGGTTGGAAATGCCGTTGTGTCTTGCAGAGTGTCTGGAAACTGGAGCCGCCCCGGCCCTCGCTGTGAAGGTGCGTCCGTGGTCCGTCCCCTCGAGGGAGAAGCTCATAGTGTGGCTCTGAGCACGGGGAGACCCCGACCGTTACAACCAGAGCCTCAGAGGTTAATCCCATGTAAAGTGTTGCATGGTATATATTAATTTCTATTGTGAAGGGGGGACTGGGGAGGATTAAGCAGATATCATGTTTTGTTGTTGCAAAATTAACAGCCTTTGGGCTTTTTGTTTTGTTTTGGCTCCTTTTGCACATCACTTCTTTGGCACATCATTGTTTGCAGTGACTGTCTGCATAAATCCAGATATAGAGAATGGAAGGCAAGTTGATGGTCAAGGACTTATCTCTGCACCTGGGCAAACAGCGACATTTCGGTGTCATGACGGTTACAGCCTGCAAGGCAGTGCTAAAGTCCTCTGCCTGGAGGATGGCAGCTGGCACCCTTCTGTTCCCGTCTGCAACAGACAGTATGATCACCAGAAGTTCTCAAACAGGCCGGAGCTTTCAGGTAAATCGTGCCACAGCTGCCCCGTGGTACCCTGCTATTTTAAGTCCCCTAACCCCGTTAAAAAAATGTGGTTAAACCCTGCGAGCAGAAAGTTTAAGTACATCCTGGGAATAAGAACTTGATCCTCTGGAATCCTTTGGGAAAATACGTTGTGTTTGCTTAACCACGGCTATATTAATCAAAATAAACAATTTTGCAAGGCAAACCAAACACCTTTCCTCATAACAGGGCTGTTGCTCTGCCTGTACCTGTCCTGCCTGTCCTGCCTGATTCTCACGTCTGTTTTCTTTCTCAATAGGTGGTTGTGGTGCTCCTCCAAGGTTACACTTTGCTGAGCTAAATGAGGAGCACAAAAATGAGATTGATTTTTCTGTTGGGAAGACTGTGCAATACACTTGCCGACCTGGATACGCTAAACGCCCAGGAATGTCACCTACTGTTACATGCCTTGAGAGCGGAGTGTGGTCAGAAGCACTAGAGTTCTGTAAAAGTGAATAGCTCCTTGATTTGGTGTCCGTTGTTGAAGGAGGAATAGGTGCTAGGGTCTGTCCATGCTGCAAAAACCTTAACGTTATTCTGGTGTTCAAATAGTATGTGACTAGTCAAGCCATGTAACTTTATGCTATTCGAAACCCGTTTTGGGGGTAACTGGAAATGGGGATAGATTACTGGTGTAATAGCTGCATCTGTTGTAGAGTGGTATAGAGAGACAGAAGCCTAAAATAAGGGTTTTTTTCTCCCCCAGGGAAACAATGCAATCATCCTGGTGTACCCATGAATGGGAAAATTATTTTCCTAACAGACCTCCTGTTTGGGTCAACAGTGGTCTACAGCTGTGAAGAAGGGTAAGTCCTGGTTTTGGCTACTGCTTAAAACAGAAAGGAGAGATTTGGTAGGTAAGTCTCCCTTTTTTCCTCCTACTCATTCACTCCCAATAAACGGCTTCTATACAGCAGCCACCGTATAGCGCTCCGTGCCTATATAACACGTAAGGCATTACATGTATATACCGTGGAATCGGTCGGGCAGAGCTAGGACGGGAACGTCTCCTTCAGGGCCGCGGCTTTGCCGTCAGCAGGGCTGGTCGTGCCGCCCGCGGTGGTCAGGAGGAGGTAATAACTCCAACTGAAACGACCTGGGATGAACGTTCAATCCTTTTAACACCAGGCACAGGCTAATTGGACAATCCAGCAGGCGATGTGAGATTTCTGGCGGACGTGTTGCATGGAGTGGCAACGTTCCCACTTGTCAGCGTAAGTAGCCTACAGCTCCGGGGGGTTGCATGCGTTCGGTAAATTTTTTCCAGCAGAGACTGCCAAATCTTTCAAATCAAAGCTTTCATGGGGAATTTCTCTGCTCTGTGGGCATGAAAAAGGTTTTGAAGTGATAAGAAAATGTTCTGGGAAAAGGTGCAAGATCTCAGAGCAAAGATTATAGAGAGCAATGTCTCAGCCGGAGCTTTTTCAGCAGTACGTGGGTAACCTGTCTCTGACTAACACCACAAGCCCGTTACAAGAGAGGAAGGGAAAATGTTATCTTCACCTTACGGGTTGTTGTCGTTAGACACCGAGAGACCCAGGCACAACCCCGCGGAGAGGCAGAGCACTGGGGGAGGCCACAGAGGAATCCCAGAGTCCCAAACCGCGGCTCGCTCTCGCTACGAGCGCGGATAACTCGTGTAGCCAAAGAGCTGCCGTGCTCTGCAATCACTCCTGGGTGTTTCTCTGCTGAGTAAGTACTGTTGCTGATTAGCTGACAGTTTCATATGAAGCAAGAAACATTTACTGGTACGTTCTGGGATTTTAAAACATTTTCTAGATTCTCCAGGTACATATTAACCTAAGGTGACATCCAAATTTCTGCCCGTCTGTACCTTTGCACGGTGCGCAGCTGAAAGATCAGGATTTTACACAGGCGATACAAAATAAATATTTGCTTTTTTATTTCTTAAACAGTAGAAAAGACAAAGCACGTAGGTGTTTCCTCCACAGAGGTTTGTCTTACCGGTCTGTTTCCTGACTGTCACAGAAATCGCTGGCCAGGGAGATGGGATCCACTTGCCTCCCCTAGAAGGTCACTTCACTGCAGTTACTCCATCTCTAGGACAAGTGTTTATGCCCCACGGCCCGAGGGATTTCAAGTCCTTTGGTGCTGCTGTTGAATTTGGAAACCTTGTTCTGCACCTCTGCAGGTATCCCTTGTGAGCCTCCTCCAGACATTCCCAATGGGAAGCACACGGGCAGGCTGCTGGATGAATTCTACTTTGGCATATCTGTAACGTACACCTGCAACCCCGGGTACCCGCTCCACGGAGAGCCCTCCATCTACTGCACCACCCACGACGGGAAAAACGGCGTGTGGAGCGGTCCCCTGCCGTGGTGCGGAGGTAGGGTTGTGCGTGCACGTGCAAACACTCGCGTGCAATCCTCCCGGCCCTACTGCTTCGCATTTGGAGAGACGAGGAAACCTCCAGAGAATGGCTCTCCTTGTCTGAGCGCCCGCTCGGGCAGCACCGGCACGGGCTGCGTTCGCAGCTGCGGGCGGGCAGAGGGGAGGGGGCTGGGGGGGGCACCCCACTGCCTCCAGCATCCCCAGCCTCACCTCTCGCCTCAGGTCTCTCCCTCAGCGTTTGAGACGGCTGGATGCGGGCAGCGCATCATCCACGGGAAAATTATTTTCAGACTTGTGTCTTGAAAGGGATCGCAACCCTCAGCGGCTTCGCGGCGGCAGAGCTCTGCACGCTGCCTAAGTGTCTGTTTTGAAGACCCGCACTTCTTTTCCAGAGGCAAGATGTCCTGTCCCGCGGGTCCAGAATGGAAGAATAGTGTCTCCTAGGACTGCCTACACACACAAGGACACCGTTGCCTTTGAGTGTGAGCCAGGCTATGTTCTACGCGGCCACAGAGTGGTAGAATGCCAACTAAACAACACCTGGGAGCCACCCGTGCCAGTCTGCGAGCAGGGCAAGTGTTCAAACAGTGCTCTGAATGTTAACCTTCCCCCTGTTCTCCCAAATCTGCTTTTTCTTGACTCCTTTAACAACCGGGCTGGCTTATCTTTCTTGGTAGCTGGCTGCGATGCACCCACCAGCCTGGTGTTTGCTGAGCTGAAGGAGCCGTACAGCGACCAGACCGTCTATCCCGTGGGGACGACAGTGGAATACGTGTGCCGGCCTGGGTACAGCCAGCACCTGGGGGTGCCGCTGGCCATCACGTGCCTCGGGAATCGGACGTGGTCTGAGGCACCAGAGTTCTGTAAAAGTACGTCCTGATAGTCCTGAAAAACCTGAAGTGTCAGGCTTGGATTTTCACCTTTTTCCAGCTTTCTGGGGTTCTTTCCTCTATGCAGCCTGCTCTCTGTGCCAGCATCCCTGGGTGGGATGTGAGCAGCTGAGGGCTAACGGTGGCTGCCGTTCCCTTCCAGGGAAACAGTGTGCTAACCCAGGGGATCCGCAGAACGGCACAGCTCTTGTCCTGACGGACCTCCTCTTCGGGTCCAAAGTGAATTACACTTGTCACAAAGGGTGAGTCTTGCGACTAGCTGAGTTCAGCTGCCACATGGGAGCGAAGCAGATTTTCAGCTTTACCTGAGGGAACTCAGTTCCCGAGTCAGAAGTCTTGGCTACCATTTATGAAGGTTGTAAAGAAATCTCTTAATGTAAATTAATAAATCCTTCTGTGTGACTCCAGGTACAAGTTGGTTGGAGGCTCCCAGAGAACATGCGAGGTCTCTGGCACAGGTGTCTCGTGGAGTGGGGATGCTCCTGTCTGCCAGCGTAAGTAGGCCACGACAAAGGTCCTTGGCGATGGCTTGCAGGAGAAAGTGGCACATCTTTCAAAACAAAGATTTTATTGCAAAAGATTTCTCAAGTCACTATATGCGTAAAATCTTTCATTTTTCTTTTCATTCTGTTTTGGTTTGGGTACTTGTGAAAATGTTTTCAAAGGTCTTTGTTTATCCTGGTCCAAACTGGGAAAACCATTAATATTTTAAACTCCCTTTTACTGGGGTGAGTGTTTCTCACTGGTCATGTGTAGGAATGGTGTGGCCAGTCTCTCTCTGCATCTGTCACCAATGGTTATGGAAAAGGAGGGAAGAATTGTCCCACCACCTCCAGAGATGGACAGAAAGGAAGGCGCAGGTTTTCCTTCCCACATGTGATTTTTTCCATACAAGGTTTTTCTCTGCATAATTTGGGTCATTGTATCCAGAGAGCATCACCGCTGAGATGGGTTCATCCCTGTCAGTTCCCTTCCTGGGAGCCGTGTGTGCCCTGCAGACCCCGCGTGCTGCTGCAGCGCCGATGCTAAACCCCCCCTTGTACGCGCCCGCAGGTATCGTCTGCGATCCGCCCCCGCACATCCCCCACGGGAGTCACAGCGGGCACTTGAGGGACACCTTCTCCTACACGGACGTGGTCACCTACACCTGCGACCCCGGCCACCCGCTGGCTGGAGACCCCTCCATCTGCTGCACCACGGAGGATGGGGAGCACGGCGTGTGGAGCGGGCCGCCGCCGCGGTGCGGAGGTAGGGCTCTGCGGTGCGCGGGCACACGTCCCCGCCGGTAAGAGTTGGTTGTGAGTGGCAGAAGGAACGACGGTGGCTGCGGTGGGGGCTGCACCCACTGACAGGAAGACATCTAACACCACAGATATTTGTTCAAGGAGTTAATGGAATTAATGGTGTTCTTCCTTTTGAAGGTTGGGATTTTATTTTTTTTTTTCTTGCCCTGTCCATATTTCTTATCTGTCCTTCCTTCTCCTTCGCAGAGGAGAATTGTCCTCCCCCTCCAGGCATCGCCAACGGGAAGCACAGCGGCCGCCCCTCGGACACCTTCCGTCCAGGCTCGGCGGTGCAGTACACCTGCAGGGATGGCTACTCCCTCATCGGGAACGCCTCCATTACCTGCACCGCCGGGGGAACGTGGAGCCGGCCCCGGCCCCGATGTGAAGGTGCGTTTGGCTCCTTTTATCTTTCCCCGGGCGCTTTCCTCATTCTTGGGTCTCGGTCTAATCCCCTGCCAGAGGCAGAGACCAAAGGTCCCACAGGCAGGAGGAGCTCTGTGTGCCTCTGCGGATCTCCCATTCTGTCCCCCAGTAAGGACAGACCCTCAGGAGCAGTTGAATAATGATATTTTGTGTAAGAATACAAGTCAATAATGTTGACGTGCCTGTGATGGTGATGGCAAGGGTCAGCAGCCCCGGTGAGCGCCCCTCCACAGCCAGGCTGGGCTTCACATCCCCAGCAGCGCCTCATGCTCTTCCTTTCCAGCAACCGGCTGCAAAAGACCGGAGATTGAGAACGGAAGAACGACTGGGCTGGAGACTGCGTACAAACTCGCAGACATCGTTGTCTTCGAGTGCAATTTTGGTTACGCCTTGAAGGGCTCTCAAGAGTCTCAGTGCCAGTTTGGGGGGACGTGGGACCCTCCTGTCCCCATCTGCGAGAAAAGTAAGTGTCAATGAGGCGGTGGGTGGCAGCTGATTTCTTCTGAACCACTGTGTGGGTGCGCCTGGCGGGGAGCAACTGCCTCATCTCGGAGGCAAAGCGGCCGCTCTCCAGGATGGGAAAGGAAAAACATGCAAATATTTGTCCTCCCATCTTCATCATCCCCATTCAGACCTTCATCTGAGGGCTTTCCTCTCCTTAAATGAATCCACAAAGAGAGAGAGCCAGGCTGGTGTCTGACCTTCTGCACAACCACAGAAAGGCCCGAAAGAGCTGTTAGGGCCAGAGATGGAAACTAACCACTGTAAATGCCTAAACAGTGAGGAAAGACCATTCTTGATGTCAATAAGCCCCCCAAAAAGGAAGGCTGGAAGACAAGTGAGGGTAGGATGGAAACACAGTGCATACATGGACATCCTTAGCCATTTGGGAGAAGTTAATGGGAAAGCAAGAAGTGAAAAGGCTGCCTAAACCTACAGTGGGTGTTTCTGGTACCTGCTCTTCACCAGTTATGACTTTTTTTCCCCTCCTTACAGTGCTACAGTGTCCTTCCCCTCCAATTATCAAAAACGGCCAGCATGAGAGCAAGGATGTGAAAGTCTTCATCCCTGGAATATCAGTGAAGTACAGCTGTGACCCGGGGTATGTCCTCACCGGGAAAACAACCGTTTCTTGTTTGACATCTGGAAGCTGGAGCATCCCTTACCCCCGCTGTGAAGGTGAGCTGTGAAAGCTGTTACCCACAGTGAAAAGGGAGACCATCCTGGTCACGAAGCTTCCCTGAATTTTGACCTCACCAAAAAAATGGGGTAAGCCCCAGCTCGGGCAGCCGCTTCCCCAGCCCACTCTCTGCTGCTTTTCACTTCCAGTCATCACCTGCACGAGCCCCGACATCCCCAATGGAGATGTGGCTGAAGGACAGAGCGCTGAGTACCACCCCGGGGACAACCTCACCTTCCAGTGCCACCCGGGCTACGTGCTGCGGGGCAGCCGTCAAGCCAAGTGCCAGCGCGATGGCCGCTGGGTGCCCGCTGTCCCCACCTGCGAGCCGGGTGAGTGGGGCACGGGGGGGCTTAGAGGGCGGATGCTGAGGGCCGTCCTTGGGCCGAGGTGACGCTCTGCCTCGCTCGCGTCACTTCAGGCGTCACAGTCTGTCGCGGCGTTCCATGTGCCCCTCCGTCGGGCAAAATCACTAAAACGCCCCTCTCCGCCTCCGCCCCATTAGCGCTGCCGTGTCCTCCGCCTCCCGTCATCGCCCACGCCCC